CCTTCAAGGAAGACATATGAAGAGAGCCCAACGGGAATCCAACGCGGAAACAAGACAGTTGTGGCAAAATCCCCTTGTCAGGCTGTATTCCATCTGGCCCTTCTGGGCCAAGACTCGCTTCTCCATGGAGCATTTATCAATCAGGGTCCCAGCAAAGCAGATGGCACACTGCATAATTGAAGAGGTTTTAATAAAGGGACTATTTACTAAGGTTTGGCAAGGTTAGGAACACCAGCAAGGGACAATGCAACGCTCTGAGGCTAGCAACAGCAGGGTGCTGTTTCCACCCCCGGGCCTGAAAAAGCAAAGGAAGGGAACAGAAGAACCCCGAGAAACAGAAGAACAGAGTGGGCCACCTGACAGGACCTGGGGCCACCAGTGAGGGAAGCCCAAAACCAGCAGAAAAGAGGGAAGGGGAGAGTAGGAAAGAGTAACAAATACTCCTGTCTCCCACTCGGGTCATACCTCCAACCTCCAGTGGGAAAAACCCACCTAGACACAAAATAGCAAGGGTCCTACTGACGTCATACACACAGGTCAGCCTCCGTGGACACATGTCAGGGTGGAGAAAGGGTCTGTAAGAATAGACAGAACCATCCACTTATGCGCAGGACCCTCAGAGAAACATAGAGGAAGCTGCAAATTCAGCACCTGAAACATCAAAGAGCACGTTGGTACAGGCCTTTTGGCTCCCCGAGCAGCACCACGGTGGCTGGGAAGAACAGACACCTTACAAAAGGCGGCAAAAAGAGAGGCAAGAAGAAAGTGCTTGAGCCATCTTCTAAGAAAGACTGGTATGATGTGAAAGCACCAGCTAGCTTCATACAGTGTAAGAAATACTGGGAAAAAACACGAGTCACAAGAACTCAAGGAAGCAAAATTCCATCTGTTAGCCTCAAGGGTTGTGTTTTTGAAGTGAGCCTTGCTGATCTGCACGATGAGTTGCACTTAGAAAATTCAAGCTAATTGCTGAGGACACTCAGGGCAAAAAGTGCCTGATGAATTAGCACGGCATGGATCTTACCAGTGACAAAATGTGCTCCATGGTCAAAAAAATGACAGACCGTGATTGAAGCTCAGGTTGATGTCAAGACTACCGAGGGTTATTTGCTTCGTCTATTTTGTGTTGATTTTACTTAAAAATGTAGTACCAAGAGGTCCACCAAATTGAGAAAAAGATGATGAAATCATGACCTGAGATGTGCAGACAAATGACTTGCAAGGAGTGGTCAATAAATTGATTCCCGGCAGTATCGGAAAAGACACAGAAAAGGCCTGCCCACCTTTTTATCCACTCCATGATGTCTTCGTTAGAAAAGTAAAAATGCTGAAGAATCCCCGCTTTGAGGGGGGAAAGGAATGTTCATGAAGCTTCATGGTCAAGGCAGTAGATCTGGAAATGCTACTGGGGGTGAGACTGGTGTCAAGTTCAACAAACTGATGGATGTGAGCCACCAGGCCAAGAATCTGTTTAAAGTTCAGACATTTAATGGTGACAGATAAAAGATCTTGTGATGTTTAAATTTTAAAAATTTCTTGGTATAGAAAACCTACACATTTGGGGTCAGAAGTACTGTCAGTATAGAAAAACATAGTTTACCTTTACCTTCCATGATTTCCTATAGAAATTCTATCTCTCCGAGCCATCTGGCAGCCTTCAGAGCACAATATTACTATCTGCTGTTTTTTTATTAGACTTTGTTTTTTAGATCAATTTTAGGTTCATGGCAAAATTGAGCAGAGAAGTGCAGAGTTCCCATATACCATCCCCCCAAGCTGTCCCTACTATCAATGTCCTCTGCCAGAGTGGAACGTTCGTTGTATCAATGAGCCTGCCCTGACAAGTCACAATCACTGAGAGACCACATGACAATGCACTTGCAGCGCTGAGCATTCCCTGGGTCTGGGAAAACGCGCAACAACATGAATCCACTATTACGATATCACACAGAATACCACCAGCACCCCAAAACATCGCTTTTGCACTCTGCTTATTCATCTTGCTGCCCCAACACTGGCAACAGCGATCTTTCTACTGGCTTTGCCTTTTGCAGAAGTCACAGAGCTGGAATCACACAGCATGTAGCCACTTCTGATTGGCCTCCTTCACTTAGTAAGGTGCATTTAAGTTTCCTTTATGTCTTCTCATGACCCCGTAGCACATTTCTTCTCAGCAATGGACAATATTCCATCGTCTATACGGACCACAGTTTATCCATTCACCTACTGAAGGACATCTTGGTTGCTTCCAGCTTTTGGCAATTACTGAATAAACATCTGTGTGTAGGTTTTTGTGAGGACACGAATTTTCAGCTTCTCTGAGTACATGCCAGGGAGCGTGGCTGCTGGATCGTATGGTAAAAGTGTAGTAGTCTTGTAAGAAACTGCCAAACTGTTTTCCAAAATGGCCGTACCATTTTGAACTACTGCCAGCAGTGAATGAGAGCTCCTGTTACTCCACACCCTCACGAGCATTTGGGGTTGTCAGTGATCCAGATTTTAGCCATCCAGATAAGTGTGTGGTGGTATCGTGTTTTAACTGCATTTCCTTGATGACCTATGAAGTGGAGCATCTTTTCATATGCTTATTTTCTATCTACGTCTCTTCTTTGGTGAGGTATCTGATGAGGTATTTGGTCCATTTTTTAATAGGGTTATTTATTTTCTTATTGTTGAGTTTTAACAGTTCTTTATATACTTTGGATAATAGTCCTTCACCAGATATACCTTTGGCAAACATCTTCTCCCAGTCGGTGGCTTGTCTTCTCACTCTCTCAACAGTGTCTTTTGCAGAGGGGAAGTTTTTAGTTTTAGTAAGTCCAGCTTGTCAGTTACATCTTTTCTAGATCAAGCCTTTAGTGTTGCCTCTAAAAAGTCATCACCACACCCCAGGTCACCTAGATTTTATCCTAACTTCATCACCATTAACTGAGTATATATATATCCATACCGAGTAGCCATCATGGAGCTGGTCCTTACGACAGAAGATGAACAAAACCCTCAAGCATCCTGAAGCACTGCTTCCAGGAACTCCGTCAACCAGGAACACAGTGACGCTCGGATGGGAGAGATGAGAGCGGTCACAGTACAGCGGCACAAACGTGGCATCAAACTCGCGCACACAGGCCCGGAGCACACCTGCCCGGCTGGATGCCAGGCCCGACCCTGCCACCACCAGCTGTGCGCCCCTGTGTCTCAGCTTCATCATCAGAAACGTGAGGAACATATTTACACCCGCTTCACATCCCGGTGCTGCTGTAAAGATTAGTCGACGTAACCCCCGTGGAAGGCCCCGCATCCCACCTCCCGCACCAGGACCCCACAAGAAATGCTGACCCTTGTACACACTCCGAGGTGGGGACTCACGTACACAGTCTGACAAACTTAGAAAAATGATCGCTGCTTTATGTTTTTAATCGCTGTATTTCATTTTATTTTGAAATCTCAAGGAAGATTTAGGTATTGTCTAATTCTCACGTTCTACGACCAGCCAATACAGCAAGCAGCCAAAGGAAATGAACAACAGCACATGGAAGACGGCAGACAGAGCCAGCAGGGAAAGTGTGCGGTTAAAACCCCAGCGTGGTGACGGGAGTCCATTTTCTTTTTTTTAAACACACAATTCCCACTTATAACAAAACAATTAAAATTTTAAGCGAGAAGCTCAATTCATGCAATATTTTAACATTGCATTACTGGTTTTCATTTGTACTAATCTAACAGAGGAAAACGAACTATGAGTATTCAAAAATTAAACCGTAGCACTGAGGATAACTTACTTCTCAGCGGCTTCAGTAAGAATCTGGTCTGAAGAACCATGGCTAATGAAACAAAGCATCAGTTCTATTTTCCAGTGTAACTACAAAAATTATATGCAGGAGAATATCAAAATGGAACACTACTTTTTAAAGTACTTGTAGGAGCACCTGGCTGCCTCAGTCGGAAAAGCATGTGACTCTTGATCTCAGGGTTGTAAGTTTGAGCCCCATGCTGGGTCTAGAGAGTACCTAAAAATTAAAAAAAAAAAAAATTTAAGTACTTTTAAAAAGCATATGGGCAACTAATTAGGTGATTTAAAAACGCACACAATGTCAACTGTACCTCAATAAAATTACCCCCAAAACCCACATAAATAAAATCATTTCCTTATTTATTTGTTTGTTTATCTGTTTATTTATTTAAGTCAGCTCCACACCCAGCGTGGAACCCAATACGGGGCTCAAACTCACAACCATGAGATGAAGACCTGAGCCAATATCAAGAGTCAGACATTTAACCAACTGACTCACCAGGGCATTCTTCATTTCCTTATTTTAAAACTGATTAAATTATGTCTTCCTGACCTGAAACTTAAATGAAATCTATTTCACACCTGACTCACTTATAAGCCAATCAAATACATGCCTCCCGTATTAGATTGGTGAAAGCATGAAACAGTCAAGGACAAAGTGTTAATCATTTTATGTGTAAATAAATGTTAAGTGCTATTTTTATAATATGGTTCACACAATACAGTAGTTCCCCCTTCTTACCAGCCAGGGAATATGGTCCAAGACCCCCAGGGGATGCCTGAAACCATGCACAGATAGTACCAAATCCTATACATATTGTGTTCTTCCCTATACATACACGGATACGACGAAGTTTAATTTATACATTAGGCCCAGTAAGAGATTAACAGCAATAACTAATAATAAACTAGAAAAATTACAACCATAGACCGCAATAAAAGTTATGTGAATGTGGTCTCTCTCTCTCTCTCTCAAAATGTCTTATTGTCCTCTCTTCATGCTTCTTGTAATGGGAAGCGAGGTGACCGAGGTAGGCATTCGGACACAGGGTCAGGCCACTATTGACCTTCTGACGATAAGTTAGAAGGAAGACCATCTGCTCCTGGACATCAGTCAACTGTGGCTAACTCCACCCAGAAAGTAAAAGTGTAGATAAGGAACAGGGGACCAACCAGCATATACACCTGCTTATCCTACTTGGACAATTACCTTTAATCGTTTCCTCCACAACTTCTACCACTCGATCTATCTGTTGAACCTAAAAAGAAAACAAATTGTTAGACAAGCAATTGACATGGATGAGAAACACTAATTTGTGTCTACCCTTCTGCTTGAGTCAGTGTATCTCATGTTCTAAGCACAAGAATGTAGGTTTTCTTTAATTAATGCATTGGGAGATATTATAAAAAATATTCTGTATTAATGTTTTGTGTTACAGTGAAGTATGAAATTACTACTCTCCTGTCCTCCAATGATAAAGGAAGAAATCATAATACATTTAAATAAACTGCCTGGAGTTCTGGCAGCATAGCCTATCAACATAAACTCAACACATCCTGAGATACAAACTGACATTTAATTAAAACATGTCTCTTCACACACACATTCTCTTCTTTTCATTCTTTAAGAAAAATGGCATGAAATGACAACCCACACAAAAGGACATGCTGGTATTAAGGAAATCTACCCCAAATTCTAGGCTTTATTATTCTAACCCGGAAGCCCCTTTTTAATGGATATTTACTGTGCGCTGGTCACTACCCTCATGTCAATGGGAGACAGAGCCAAATAGTAACGGCTCCTATCCTAGACACCAGTGACTAAAGGAGAGCTCCCTGGGGTGCCATGGAAACACAGAGGAAAGGTAATAAATTGTGACTGAGTGATCTAGGAATGCTTCTCAGGGAACCAAAGAGGGCTCTTGAGGGATAAACCAGATTAAGACAGGAGAAGCCCACTAAGGAGACTGAGTTAGAATGGCTAGGGTGTAGAAGGAAAATGAAAAAAACAAAGGTTGTAGTGAGAAGCTAAGGGAAGAGAGAAAGTCGAAACAGATTAAGTCCTAAGTTGATACTACTCATGCCTTAAAATCTTCAAATCATTTGCTTTATTATAGAAGAAATACATGCTCATTGAAAAATTCAAACAAATTAGGGCGCCTGGGTGGCTCAGTGGGTTAAGCCTCTGCCTTCGGCTCAGGTCATGATCTCACGGTCCGGGATCGAGGCCTGCATCAGGCTCTCTGCTCAGCAGGGAGCCTGCTTCCTCCTCTCTCTCTGCCTGCCTCTCTGCCTACTTGTGATCTCTCTCTCTGTCAAATAAATAAATAAAATCTTAAAAAAAAATTTTCAAACAAATGAGAAACATAAAAAGGAAATAAAGTAACCCGTATTATCGTACATCCTCTATTTCTACTCCTCAGATAGTATCATTCATAATCCCTTAATAAGTAGGTACCAGACATCTTCCAATGCAGAACATTTATATACAGCTCTGCTCTGTCCTTTCTTACGAATGACGAGATAAATAGGTAGACAGATAGATGAGAGGGAAAATAACAGACCTGCCTATTTTTTTCTATACAACATCAATACATAGAGGTCTACCTCATTTATTTCACTAGCTGCCTAGTACCTCATGTATAGATAGACCATAATGCATTCACCCATTCCCCAACTGACAGACCCTTATTTTTAATCTTTCATTATCATACAACGATGCTGCAATGAACTCAACTGAGTAAACACCTTTTTAAAAAGTGCAGTGGCAAGTCTCTTTTAAATATTCCCTTGGCCTCACTGTGCTATGGGAAGTGAGGAAAAGACTTGAGAGAACACACCTGGATTCCGCCCTGCCTCTGACCACTCAGCCCAGCAGAAGAGTAGCAGTTTCACTAACTACTGAGAAACTGCCAAAGGCAAAGTAAATCTCTGTTGGATCGCAGATCCCAAACAAACCCACCTCCCTGGAACCATTGGAACCACTAGGTTCTGGTCTTATGAAGAGAGTTCATGTGGCCTCCTTATCGAATGTGATCAAAGCCAGAATAACGGGGTTCGAAGAGGAGGAAAGTACCCAATAGGGTCAAATGCAACAGAGATAGTAAGTTCACATAAAGACTGGAATATAAATGCCTGATCCAACAATGAGGGAGTCGATGAGCTTAGGGGAAGAAGTGAGGTCACAGTAATGAATCATAACTAAGAAAATACAGTAAGTAGAGCCTACTCCTACAGACGGATGGAAAGGAGGAGACATGGGTAGGACAAGGAAAGAAGAGTTGCCCAAATTTCCCAGTGGAACGGGTATGAATAACCAAGATACCAGCTGAGGATACAAGACAGGGAATAAAAGTAGCGCAATATGAGAAAATCCAATGGTGGAACAAAAACAGCAACGTGTTCCCATGTAGCTGGAGATCTAATAGCTCAAAGGGATCACTGCATCCAGTCTTACAACACACGGGCTAGGAGGGAAGCAGTATTCCTAGAGAGTCAGAATTTCTCTGGGGCGGTTAATTACAGGCGGAGCAGTCAAAAAAATTACCAAGTCGGGGGCCAGCTAAAACTGTAATATTCTTAGAAGAAGACATCGTCATGAATGTAGGTGAACCTTAGGTTAGATGGTGATGTTTTAGATATTACACCCAAAACATAAACAATAAAAGGAAAAAGGTAAACTAAACACCATCAAAATTGAACACCATCAAAATTAAAACCTCTTGATACATCAAAGGACACCATGGAGAAAGTAACAAGACAACACAGAAAATGGGAGAACATTTTTGCAAATCATAAACATAGTATGACTCAGATTTGTATCTAAAATATGTAAGGAGCTCCTTTAATTCAAAAATAAAAAGACAAATCATTTAAAAATGGGGAAAAATGAGTGGCTTAGTTGGTTAAGCATCCAACTCTTGATTTCAGCTCAGGTCTTAATCTCAAGGTTGTGAGTTCCAGCCCTGCACTGGGCTCCACACTGGGCAAGGAGCCTACTTAAAAAAATGATAGAATAAAAATTAAAGTTAAAATGGGCAGGGGAACCTGGGTGGTTCAGTTAGTTAAACATCCAACTCTTGATTTTGGCTCAGCTGGTGATCTCAGGATTGTGGGATAGAGCCCCGCATCGGGATCTGGGCTCAGTATGGAGTCTGTTGGAGACTTTTTCTCTTTCCCTCTCCCTCTGCCCCTCCTCCTACTCACACTCTCTCTCTCTCTCTCTCTCTCACACACACACACACACATACACTCAATTCTCTCTCTCTCTCTCTTTCTCTCGTTTTGTCTCTAAAATAAATAAATGAGATCTTTAAAAAAATGAAAATGGGCAAAGTCTATCTGAATAGACACTTCACCAAGGAAGATACACAAATGGCCAATAAACATATGGAAAAAAATGTTCAGTATCATTAGTCAACCAGGGAATGCAAATCAAAATCACAATGGAAGAATAGGGAGCTACTGTGTATTGGGTCTAGATTTTCAGTTTGTTAAAATGAAAACATCCTGGAGGTGAATGGCGGTGATGGTTGCACAACCGTGTGAAAGCACTGAAACACACCTAAAATTAATCAAAGTAGTAATTTTTATGTTATATATATTTTACCATAATGAGATACTACTTCATACCCACTAGGGTGGCTATAATCAAAAGGTGAGATGACAAGTATAGGCAAAGATGCAGAGAAACTGGAATCGTCCTACAGTGCTAGTGGGAATGTAGTATAATGGTGCAGTTGCTTTGGAAAATAGTCTGGAGGAGCCTCAAATAGTTCACCGAGTCACAGAACGACCCAGCAATTCCCATTGTAAGGATACACCCAAGAGAAAGAAAAACAGACGTCTACACAAAACCTTACAGACAAATGCTCAAAGCAGCATTATTCAAAATAAGCAGAAGGTAGAACCTACTCAATTCTCATCAACTGATAAAGAATCAAAAGGTGGTACAGCCATACAAGGAAATATCGTGATACCATCAAGGGGAACAGGAGCCAGAGTAGTACCCCCTTATCCATGGTTTCATGTACCCGCAATCCGGAAGCAGACGGTCCTCCCTCTGACATATCCTTAGAAGGTCCACAGGCTAGTTCACGGTGCCTATGTCACTCGCCTCATTTCATCCCATCACGTAGGCATTTTATCATCTCACATCATCACAACAGGAAGGATGAGTACAGTAGGATGACTAGAGTACGTGAAGATATTTTGAGAGACAGACCACATCACATGTTACATTACGTGATACATTACCTTCCATTATATTATAGCACATGATTACAATTGTTCTATTTTATTAGGAGTAATTGCTTTTAATCTCTTGCTTCACCTATTTCTAAATTAAACTTTAGCACAGGTGTGTATGTATGGGAAAAAAACACAATATATATAGGGTTCAGTACAATCCATGGTTTTAGTGTGCACTGTGATCCTGGAATACATCCCTCACGGATAAAGGAAGGGGCTACTATATGCTGAAACAGTATGCTAACTTAAGCCAAATCAAAAAAAAAAAAAAAAGTCAAATATTGTATGATTCCAGGTATATGAAATGGCCAGAACAGGTCAATCTTCAATGACAAAGTAGATTAGTGACTGCCTGAGGGCGGGGCAGTAAAAGAAATGAAAGAAACTGCCAGGGAGTGCTGAGTTTCTTTTTGGAAGGATGAAAAAATACTACAATTGATTGTGGTGATTGTGGCATAATTTTGAATATATTAAAAACCATTAAATTACACACATTATGTGAGGTAACTGTATAGTATGTGAATTACAGTTCAAAAAAGCGGTTATTTCAAAAATAATTATATGGGCCACCTAGGTGGCGCAGTCAGTTAAGCCTCCGTCTCCTGGTTTCAGCTCAGGTCCTGAACGCAAGGTCATGAGATCGAGCCCCATATCAGGCTCAGCACTCAGCTCAGAGTCTGCTCAGACTCCTTCCCCTTCTCCCTCTCTCCCCGCCCCCCACACTCTAGCTCTCTAAAATAAATAAATCCTTTAAAAATAATACTAATTATACAGGTTGGAGGTACTCAAATGTTAATGCTGAGCTAATGAAACTCAAGGAAAAACTAAGGAAATATTCCAAATTAAAGGAGCCCAAAGAAACCTGAGAACTGAATGCAACTTGGCATCTGGATTCTTTCTTCCCCTCTAAAGGACATTATTAGAAAACAGCTGACAAGAGCTGAATAAGGTCTGCATGCTAACTTACAGAAGTGTATCTTTGCTATAAAGTTATACTACAGTAGCATGC